CGCTTGGCAATGTCTCTTTTGCAATTTAAATAGGAGCCTACTTGTAAACTTGGTAGTGGTATTTTTTTCTTTTTCATGTGTAATAATTTTAATTTTAAAATTCAAATATCTTATCTTGTAAAAAAATTCAAATAACTTACCCCTCTCCTTTAAAAAAAAAAAAAAAAAAAAAAGCGCCCTCCACATTAGACCTAGGGGCCAATTGAGCTACAATTTTGTGGTAAACACATCTTAAAAAATAAAAATTTTGGGGCCAAGCCTAAAAAAAAATTAAAAGTTCCAAAATTAGATACATTTAATATTTTTCTATTGAAAAGGGCCTCTCTTTTTTTTTTTTTTTTTTTTTTTTTGTAGAAATAGCACATTTTAGTTGTGGGTGATTAAAAATATACTAGTATAAAAGAAAATAAAATTCATAACAAAGTAATAAAAACAAGTTAAATATATCTCAATCTTATAGTAAATTTTAAGTTTTTCATGACCAAATAAATTATTATAAATTTAATAAACTGGAGTCCTCATAACTATTTTTTTTAACAAATTGTAATTATTTACATGTATTAATTGAGGGATGAAGACATATATTAATTGGGAATGAGAAAAAAGACTATGTGAAATTTGAACGTGCAATCCACAGGAAATAAATATTTTTAACTTAAATCCATGTCACTAGACCGTGAATAGTTAATCATAACTATTAATTGTTCTTACAATTTGAAATAAATTTATATTCCAATTCATATTTCTCATGTGATAGTTTCAGTTGTTCCACAGTTCTTTGACAATGAATTTTCTTTATATTTGGACAATGTATTCTAACTCTTAAACTAAGTTTAGAGAACCTAAATTATGAAAAAATATTATCCCTAAATATTTCATGACCAAAAAAATTATGTATAAATTTAATAATTATATTTTCATAGTATAAATTCTAAATAGGAAAATGATTTTAAGATAATTTTTTTGTATTATTTTTTTGATATATATCATTTAAATAATTAATTCTTTTGATTTATTTCAAATCTATTATATTAAATATATCAATTTATTTAATAATATATAAATATTATATAAAAAAATAATAATAATAAACTATCTCTATAACATCACTTTTCTAATAAAATGAATTTTTACTATATACAAAAATGGGAAGAAAATCTAAAATTCCTTATCTGTAGTCAATTTAATACGTGGCGGTTTTTAATTGGAAACGTAGGAAGGACTTCCGTTTCCGTTTTGTTTGTTGTGAGAAGAGTGGAAGAGTATAAGGGGGCGAGCGGAAGTGAAGGTTCGCCGACGGCAATCTCTCAGATAATTGGAGGAACAAAAGTGAGAAAGAGAAAGAGAAATGGGAGACCTGTACGCTTTAGACTTCGACGGAGTTCTCTGCGACAGCTGCGGTGAGAGCTCTCTTTCCGCCGTCAAGGTATTGCTGCATCTATCTCTCTCTGTCTGTTTGGCTGCTGAGAAAGTGGAGGAAATGAATTGGATTATTATGATCTCAATAGAGCAAGTTTTAGCTCGTATGTTAACTAAATTAGTTGTTTTGAAGAAGAGATTCTGGCTTGATTTTATTTGAATCTTTAATTTTTGTGTTCATTGTTGCGGTGAGTTGTATAGGCTGCGAAGGTGAGATGGCCGGGTTTATTTGACGGAGTGGATTCGGCGACGGAGGACTGGATTGTCGATCAGATGTACACAGTATGCTGTTGCTTTCTCCCTTAATTTTATATATTCAGACGTATATATTTGTAATTCTGTAATTTGGTTTCGATTTAATTGAAATTGAATCTCAAGTCACCTGAGCAGATGTAATTCAGTTTGGAGCTGAATGATGCTATTGATTTGTATTAGTGTCACAAATGAAATGATAAATTCATGCATGTAAAGAAATTGAAACTCAGTTTTTTTCTACTGCATTTAGCAATTAGGTTTTTGAGAGACTATCTTCTTTACTAGAGAAATTAGTTGGAGATTCATTGAATCTTGAAACCATCTCTATACTGAGAAGAATGTCACTTGTTTTTTCCCTAATCATTGAGGTGTGATAGATTCATTGATGCGTAGAGAAATAAAAGTTCTTGTTGGAAGGTCTTAATTGAAGCTTATGCATGTATGTATGATAGGTGCGGCCTGTGGTGGAAACTGGCTACGAAAATGTGCTACTTGTCAGGTTGTTGTTGGAGATGAGAGTGCCTTCCATTCGAAAGTCCTCGGTGGGTATATATGCCCATGACTCTGACTTGAAAATATCTTCTGAATTCTGATATGAAAGCATTTGGATCAAGTGGTGTGCTTTCATATGTTATTGAGCAACTGGAGCAGTGTCAATCAGAAGTTATTCTTAATTAACTTGATTAAAATTTGGCCAGCATCTGATGGTTGTGTTTCAATTTGCAAGGTTGCAGAGGGACTTACCATTGAGGGGATATTGGAGAACTGGTCAAAGCTAAAACCAGTCATTATGGAAGAATTGGGTGAGAACAGGGATGCTCTAGTTGATCTTTTTGGAAAGGTTAGGGATGAATGGATGGATAAGGACTTGGCAACTTGGATTCGTGCTAATAGGTACTTTATCAAGCTTGTTAAGACAATCTACACATGTAAATTTGCTAAAACAAACATGATCAATGAGATCTAAGATTCTAAAGCTAGGAAAATCTCATAAAGATCATATCCTTATTTTGAAAGTGAATGCCCATTGGAGAATCAGGAACCTCAGTTAAGATTCCTTTGTTATGGCTCCTAAAATCCTGAATTGTTGATTGATGATGTTCCTACTGCAGGTTTTATCCAGGAGTTCCTGATGCACTGAAATTTGCAAGCTCAAGGATATATATAGTCACCACAAAACAGGTGATGGGATTTCTTTATCTCCCCACTTCCCCCATCTCCACCCTCTTCAACCAAAAGAAGAAGAAAAATGAAATTTGTGCAATAATCACAGAGAAGTGATTTATTAACAGTTGCAAGAAGAATAACCGAAATGAGAAATTTGTAGATTTTGACTTTCCTCATTTTAGTTGTATTTATAAATTTAATGTTTTTTCTTTGCATCTTGACCACTCCTCTCGTTCTATCTCCCACATTTCAGAGCCGGTTTGCAGATGCTCTACTGCGAGAGCTAGCAGGAGTAACAATACCCCCTGAAAGGATATATGGTTTGGGAACTGGGTTAGTAAATTTTCTGAATTGAATAGAACGAGGAATGATTATTTTTCCAAGTGGTATACCTACCATGAGAAAGATTTTTTATTTGTTAACAGGCCCAAGGTGGAAGTGCTGAAGCAACTTCAGAAAAGGCCAGAACACCAGGGGCTGAAACTACAGTATGTTATTGCTTACCAATATGATAAGATAATTAAACTGTTAAGGTTGTGTTTGGTATAATGCCTTTTTCTTTGAGGGCATTTCAGAAAGTGAAAAGTGATTTTTAATTGAAAAAGATCCCATTCTTTTTTTTATTAATGACCAACATTTTTAAGGCAAAATAAAATAGCCATCTTACCTTTATAGAAAAATTTTCAAAATCATTAAAAAGGGGTACCTTGTAGAAATTAAAAACCATTTCCAAATGCAAGTATGCAATCATAACAAATTAGTTTTTTCATCGCTGCCCATCTAGCTTTCATATTTGCTGAATACTAACTCCACTGTTTTTTTATCAGCTTTGTAGAAGATAGACTTGCAACTCTAAAGAACGTCATTAAAGATTCAGAACTGGATGGATGGAATTTGTATCTAGGTATCTTTATCTCTGAAGGGTAGACTCTCAGCTTGGCTGGTGCCAGGCAATAAATCAAACTTGGCACCATGCCTCTAATTATAAGCAACCCGTTTGTTTGTGACATTTTTTAACCCTTATTTCGTTTGCACATTTCTTGTTACCGTTGTGCTATACTTTGGCCGGTTGCTAAGATGGATCGCTTGAAACAGGGGACTGGGGTTACAACACTCGGAAAGAGAGGGAAGAAGCAGCAAACATTCCCAGGATTCAACTACTTCAGCTCTCTGACTTCAGTAAGAAGCTTAAATAATCATTGGTTTCCCTCCTTCGACTTCCGGTATTGATATCCAAACCAGTTATTGATGCAGATGATATCTTTAATTGTTATTCACGTATGATTAAAGCAAGAAATCGTTTCTTTCCAGTTAATGAGAAACTGATGTACTCTGCTATTAGAAGCTTTGCTAGTGAAGTTACTAAAACATTTTCTGGTACTCCACTACTCGGTTCACGGTCATAGATGAGTGAATGTATGACACTGGAATTAACTGAATTTGAACATGGATATTGGATTCAATTCATTGACATTTAATAGTCCATTTGCTGGTGAGCTGGTTAGATTTGGTTGAAGTAGAACTTGCATTAATAAATTTAGCAACTGTAGTTTTCACTTGTCAATGATGATTCCACCAAAAATGAGCCGTCGATTATAGAAAACTATGGAGACAATGTGGAGAGGAGAAACTTGTGACTCTTAATCAAATTGCAAATATGTCTACAGGGCGTGGAAGGAAATGAAGTTAAGAAGTTGAGTATGCGGGGTTAAAATTCTGCAATCTATCTTTTAATAACTGCATTCAATCGATCTATGATCTGGAGCTAGCATCTGGAGAAGTTCTAAGTTAGCTACAATTCTTCTTTCACATGTCCATCACCCTCTTCAGAGCCAGCATCATCTCCCTTCTCTTTATCGCGTCTAAGCCTCCCAATAACTTCTTCCAAGGGTGGATCTCCAGGTCTTCGAAAAGCTCGGTCCCCAATCTTGATCTCATACGCCTCTGGTTGGCTCAATATGAACTCCTTCAACTGGGGGTACAAGGGGGTAATAAAGTCAGATTATTAGGACACCTTGGATGGAGTCTCGAATTCGAAAGGAACATGAAGGGTGAAATTTAGCTTGGAGAAATGAAAAGGTTACCTCATCCATGTCTCGGCCATTGTCCATGTTGAACATGATTGTGCTCATATCAACCCCTGTGAACCTGATCTCAGAACGTTCGTCCATTTCATGGCAATCTCACCCACCATTTCCTGAAAACATAGAAAAATGGGAAATCACATTCCCACATCAATATTTCGACAAAAAATACTAAATTCATTATTATACCTAAATTCCAAATTTAATACAAATATCCATTTGAAAAGAAAATTTGGATTCTGAATTTCAAACAAATTACCGGAGAGCGCCAGATTCCCAATTGTAGCTTAACGAAGCCGAAGAAAGGACCGTAATGTCGCTTCATGAACTCGGCCTGAATCTGAGGCAGCTCCATCTTATCAAGATCGCTGGGCGGGAAATCAAAGCCTTGAGCAGAGGATTTCTTATTGCCCCATTCCTTCCACGCCTCGTCTTCTTCGTCGTCAACAACGTCGTGAAGTTCGTCCGTAATGGATCCGCCGCTTGCCTCCCTCCACGAATCGACCCAACTCGCCATTTGGGGATAAGACGAATAGCAGAATTAGAAGGATAAAGAAGGGAAATGGGGATCGCATTCGCATTATCGTTCTTATAAAATGAATATTCAACAGTGGAATTGCAGGTTGGCATTCAGTAATGGTTTATTTACATTCTGAGGAGGAGGAGGATGACG